AATGCAAACAGCTACAGTGCCACAGAATAGATTTAGACCCTAAATTGCTTTAAAAATTATTTTAGCTATAGATGCTTTAGTATCATTGTGCCTTAGCTACCACGGAAATTAGATTAAATACGGCAGTGTTCCTTACCCTTTTAATCTGCTAAGTGCCAGCCGTTAATGTTATTACATGGGTTCACAAAGTTATTAGTTAAGGCCATCAGAAACTTGAAGGAGCCACAGATGTTTTAATGGTCTTAAATCTCGAGGAGGTATGACTGGGCAGGCTCAGTGCTTGCGTAGCAGGTATGCAAGAAATGTGTTGGTGCAACGTAAAATTATACTCGTGACAAAACTGAAGGCAGTCTTTCAAGGAAGGTCGCTGCTAAACCTTTGCATAGTTGATGCCTCAGGGCTGTTAGAGGTGTCATTTGTGGTTCTGACACAGAGATGGGGTAGAAGATATCCCCATGTAATTAAATAATTACATCATGCATATGGTAATTAGATAATTATATTTTGCCAAAATACTTGAAGGCCACTACAATTGCAGTTGGATACAACAGTCTTCATTTCCTTCCTTTTATAGCTTAAGGATGCCGTTGTAAATTAAGTGGTTGTCCTGTACTGCTCTGGAAATAATTGCATTTTCATGGTGGGCAGAATGATTCCTGTGCCATTATTAGCTGTTCTCAAATGATGCTGTAAATATGCTTGGTGGTAATCAAGAAAATCTTTCCTGAAGCCGTACTGTCAGATCAGGTTTTTTATTGTGTTGTTCTTTGAGTACCAGTTGTTATGAGTTGCCTTATGAAAACTGTCAGAGACAAATGTGTGTTGATAAAAACTAGCAAAGTTAGTGTAGGTTATAAACAGATAACAAATGAAGGGAGAGGAAGGGAAGGAACACGCTCGTACACTGCAGCAGTTGAGATCAGTGAAAGTAAATACGTAACTTCTGATGGGATAGGGGCTGTCTTGTCTTGTGCTTCTCACACATTGCTTCTCTGCCTTGCTAATAATAAGGGATAGACAATTTATTGTCTGTTTGCTGCTTGGTTTTATAACCTTTGAAGAAAGCAATTTTAAAATTTATTAGCAATTAACACAAACATTTAATTACTAACTTGGGTATTAGGAAATGACAGCATGGGGCACCTACTGCTCTCCTGATTGGTCTTTTCTCATTTCCTTGTTTCCTCTGTTGTTCTCTTTACTGCTCCCTTGTACTCTTGTTCCCTCTTCCTCAACATTTTTGACCCGTTCTTAAATAGTTTTTTCACAGAGGTACAACCAGTTTCACTGATGGGCTCATCTTCGGCCAGCAGTGAGTCTGTTGGGGAAGTGGCGATGTCTGTCACAGGGCAGCACCCGACCTGACCTCCTCCCGCAGGCCACTCCTGCAGTTCTCTGCTGCCCAAACCTTGTTATTTGTACTCAAAAAAGCTGTTGAATCTTGTGTGTGTGTGTTGTAATTACAAGGGCAGTGGTAAGACAAGATCATTTGAACTTCAGTTACTACTATCTTTTATTCCTAGGAGATAACTGGTTTCATGTCGTGTACAACCTGGATTTCAGCAGTGTCTTCTGATTTGGTGTCTCCAACTTATTCTATATAATGAGCAATAGAAAGAGGAGGGTGAGTTTCTGTCTTGGAGGCTGGTCAGTGAGAAATAGATTTTATATTAAGATTAATTACGTAACTAGTAAAAGTATGAGCTAAAGACACACAGATGCTTTTGGAAAACAAGCTGTGAGGTTTTTTTGACTCAGGTAAGCACTGTGTGACCAACCCCATGGCAATGCCATGAACAGCCAGGCCTCTGGAAGGAGCCTTCCTCAGCCCGGGTGTACTGCCAGCTGACATCTCTGTGATTGATCTCTGGTACCAATTGATGTAATGGCAAAGTGTCAGTCTGCCAAGAGTTAATACCAGGCTCCGGTCTGTGTACAGTGCTGCTCTTTGCATGGTGTGAAAAGTTAATGTAGGGAAGACCCCATGTTAACATCTGCATCAATGAGCTATGGATGGTAAGCTTTCTTCCCACAGGAAAAATGGAACTGATCTTTCCTTTTCAGTAATAACTGAGGAGATAAATGTGCCTACCTTTATATTGCTTCAGGCAGTACTGCTTGCTGGCTCACCTTTGAGCCTTACCTTCCCATGATCATTCTGCGATTGTAGAAGCAAGGCTGTGAGACTTCAGGCCAAGATCTGTTCACAGAGACGAAAGCATCAAATACGCTTGTTGACAAGTCAGAAGGCGGCTGATAGTCTTATGATAATTGTTTTTATTTCTTGTGAGAGACTGGTTGAATAAAACAGGTTGAATAAAGTAATTTCCTCCAAGTTTTTTCAGCCAAATAAAGGGAAGAAAAACTATGTCATCAGATGTGCATGCTTAAATTCGTTGATTGGAATTGTAATAGAAAGTTACTGTTAATGCTTTTTTCCTGTAGAATAACATATTGAAATAACATGTTTGGTTAGTGTACAAAAAATGGCTGTGTTTGGCAAGTGTTTTAGTGGAGCTTGTAAACTAAAGTCACAGGTATCCATTGCTGGAAAGTCTTAGTCTTGCAGTTACAACTTGGATTACTGACTGTTTTTTCAATCAGAAAACAGCTCAGGATTCATGGCTGGCTTAGGAAATAGTCACCCACAGAACTGTTTGATGAAATTCAATAGGTGCCTGAGTGAGTGTGATTCTGTGAAGGCAGTTGCTTCTGGCATGGCTCTTCACCCATGGAAAATGACCCTTGGAACTGCCAGAGTTACAAACGCATATGCATGCACTGTTCTTGCAGTGACTCTTACTTTTATTCAGATGTTTTCCTACACTGGTGTGCTCTTTGCACGTGGGTGAGTCCTGCAGTCTTCTGCTGTAAGTGTAATAATAAGTATTAAAAGATAAAATCTTCAGGGAAAGTGTGATTTGGGGAAATCCAGGTTAATGAAACACCCAACAGCTTGAACAAATACTTACATAGTTTACTCAATTAGCCTGAATGTTCTTGAAAAGCACCGAACAACGTTAATTTCTGCTGGCCAGGATCAGAAACAGACCTGATCTAAATAGCTCTTACATGTGCAGATAGTTGGAGATTCTTTGTGTAAACTCAGGTTGATTTTGTGGAGATCACATAGTCGTCAAACAACAGAGATACGTGTGACTTTCCTTGTTGCTGTGAATTTTGGACTGGCATTTAAAAAGCATTCTGCCTTTCTCAAGACCTTCTAAAATAATCTTAATTTCTGAAACTTCCCTAATTTCCATTGCAGAGTTGTATGTGAACTGAGAAGCTCCACTCGATCCCATTTACCTGTGTGGTAGCAGGGCCTGTCAGAGTAGTTCCCTCATTTGCCGGAGAGGTTAGCAGGTCTTTCATCCCTGACGAACTGGAGCCGATCCCAGGATTCAGGCAGGGAGGCAGTACTTTGACAAGTAAAGCAACATTATGTATCTCTAGAGGTTGGGAAGCGATGCAGGGAAGCAAGCGTTGTTGGCGTCCTGTCAGCATTGTCAGGGGAGAAAGGAAAACGTCCTGAACCAATCAAACAACTTAATCTTCTCAATTTATGCTTTTGCATTTTGGGATCTTTTTAGTGAGAGATCAAAGAATGTGCTTCCTGGCATTCTTTGGGAGTCGGGCTTCTGGTGGTATATGCTGCTAGTATATAGACTTGGTCTTTAGGTGTTTCCGTGCCGGGAACTTAGGCCAGCTGTCAGGTCTCTATGTGATGCTGTGGGTCCTGAGGATTCGGACAAAGTGGAAGTTTCTGCCTATTGGACAAGTAGATGATTTTCCGGTGATTCGCTTGTATTTTAATAAGTCTCTGCGTGACCAAACAGTTACGGTTTGTGAGTACAGCTCTTCAGGGATCAGCGTTTTTATTTAGTCAGTTGTTAATGGCTATGGAGACTGTTCATAAATAATTAGATCCTCCAGAAAACGAAGATTTTTTTTTTTCCTCTGTGAGGCTCTAGTTTATTCGGGTCACGTAAGGCATTTGATCTTTCTTTACTAGCGTACTGTATGTCATAAAGTGTTTACAGAGACAGAGGGTTCTTTGGGTCAGGTTGTGTGGCCGGCTGTGTAAGGACTGAAGGGCTGGCTGGAGGGGTCAGACGGGGCTGTGACAGAGCCCTACAAGTCACCTGGACAGACATCCCGAGCGACTAAATAGTGACAACAAATGCTGCGATTTCATTGTACTGGAGCAATTCTGAAATTAACTTCTAGGTATGTCATTACCCATCTTCTGTATTAGTTATAGCAGCCAGAGATGTGGCTGTGTGGAATAAAAGCATTTTATGATGACACAAATATTACAAAGTGACCATTCCAGTAGCATCACTGTGCATACCTAAATCTGGGCTGGAAGTTCCAATAGGCTGGCTTAGTAAACTGGGCTACAAAATATTGTGTGACTGAAACTGGGTTTGTATTTAAATAAGGATGCCAAGTGCAGTGAATTTATTCTCTCTGTCGAGTCTCTAGTTTCAAAGAGCTTATTTTACACACCGGCTTCAGCAGCCATTTTGTGTGTTCTGTACAGACTCTCTCTTCTCTTCCTTTGTCTTTGTTTTTCTCCTTCAAAACTTTAATCTTTATCTAGAAAGATCATTCAGGCTGCAATTAAATAGTTCATCTTTGTGTACAAAAACAAAATAGCATTCTTGTCAAAAACAAAGTTATGTTACTGTTGTCTGATAATTTTGAAATTTAATTAATATAGATTTGTCTGCCCCAGACTTTAGACTGATTGTGATGAAAAAAAATTGGTTTTAACTAACTGTATTTTGAATATTGAATTTTGAGCCTTAGGTGCTAATAGTTAGACTGCCACAGGAGGTATGTGAGGGCGTGTTACGTGACGATTTGCAGGCTGCTGTAAGCCGGCAGCACGTGTGGTTCTGTGTGGTATTCTCTCTAAGGTTATGCTTTTAAAGTAGCATATCCTAGAGCTGTTGGAATGAAAGTCTAAAATTGTTTCTTTTTGTCTTTTGTAGAAGCTCCACCAAAACCAGAAGAAAATCCTGCTGAAGCGTTCACCGACTCATCTCTCTTTGCTCACTGGGGCCAGGATCTCAGTCCAGAAAACAGACGTATCGCGCTCAAACAATTCCAGTATTACGGCTACAATGCTTACCTGAGCGACCGCTTGCCCCTGGACAGGCCCTTGCCTGACCTTAGGCCCAACGGGTGAGTGCTCTAGTTCAGCTCAGCATCGCAGGCTCTGAAGGGTAGTGTCTGTTAGCGCTTTTTCACCTGCAAGTGTTGTGTTGTGTGATCACGTAGAAGGGATGTTACATATGGTGGCCAGAACAAGTAATTTCTGTCAAATATATGAAGGTTGGAAGTTAGAAACGTCTTCTGAAACGCTGGAGTACCCAAATTAACTGCTGTTACAATCCCACTAAGTAACCGTTAAAAGTTCCTCAAGATTCTTTGGAACCTTAACCATGCCGACAATTTACGTCAGATATCAAGTATTTTATTGCTAAAAGAATAACCTTTTAAAGTTAAGTTTCAGCTTTATTACAAGATCTGACTACTAAGAGCTGCTCTTTTTGAGAGCCGAGAACTGTTTGGTAGGGATCAGTAAGCAGGTGAAATACACTGTGTACCAGCTGTGAGCCCATGGCGCTCCCTTCACGGGGCTGCTCCCTGCTACGGAGCCTGCGTGTCAAGCAGGGGAGAAACATCCTCTGTTATTCCACCATGGCTTGGCGAGATGGACGGGCCAGTGTAGTAAACAGCCTTCCTTCCCTTCAGCGCGTTTGAGGCTGTTCTGGTAGGACCAGTCACGGAGAGGGTTAATGCTCAGCTTTCCCTCAGCCCTAGTGATGCATCTGATCCTCTGAACAACAGCAGCTCTGGGGAATGGGTGGAGGGAAAACTGCTATTTTGTAGCTCATAAAAAAAAAAAAATCCTTAAAATAAACATGATGGCTACTTACTGAATTGAACAGATGATCTTATTCACTTACTTTAACCAAATGTTTTAATAGCTACAGCCATGAGCAGTGCATTTGGCCACATGTTAAGTTGTCTGATATTAATGAAAATTGAACGCCATCTCGGGCATCACTTTGGCAGTTTTAAATACATCTATGCTATGTATTATTATCTGTTACACTTTACAAATATTTATGTTGTAGATTTGCTGAAATAATGACTTCAAGGAAATCAAAGTCCATGCAATTATATTTATATTTTAGTTAAATCAGTTCAGCACTGTCTGCAGGGAAAATCTCTTTTTTAAAATTGTGAACTAATTTAGATGAAGAATAAATCTTCTTTCACTAACAAGACATCAATGACAGAAATGTTTCTGTTCTTATATCTCTTTTGAAATTACTTTTCTTGAATGATTTAAATCTAAATTTTTTATAACATGGGTTTTAAAAATTGAAAAGACGGAGAAGATGAATGTTACTGTAGCTGAAAGGAATAAATTAAGGTTGGGATTTTAAAAGAAACTCCAGTTAGAAACGAATCGTGATCCTAATTTTTGTGAAATTTTTGATCTTTAACTATCTACCAGATACATATTATACATTACAATATGATTATGGATGCATGCATACAAAATAATGGCCTAGTAATGGTAGCTCAGGAAGAATTTATTTTTTTAAAAAAAGTTTTTTCCTCCACCCTTTATTCTTTATTAATGTTCAGCACCAAGCAGGTAGTTGGACACTGAAATGGAGTCAATTCTGATAGTGAGGGAAATTAAGCACGTTGTCAGGTGGTATGTAAACTGCTGTATCTAGTGGAGTACAGGGCTACAGGGTATTCTGAAAGTCATGATGCTGAAAAAAGGAATTCCCACTCCTGATATGCAAATTCTCATTTGTGTGAAAGCACATGCATGGGTATTGTGGAAAACAACCCCCTACCCTGCAGGAGTATGTTTTTCACTATAATAATCAATTTTTAGGATTTGTAGCACGTTTTTAAAGCCAATTGCATTTGTCACTTCCAGTCAATATAGATGTATTTGAATAACCCAGGGGCAGATACTAGGCTCAGGCAGCAGAGCATGAAGGCCAAGGACAGCTTAGTCTGAAGAGAGCACACAGCAAGTGGCATGGAGACCGGGTTAACGAACTTTGCTGAGCGTTACTCAGTTGTGTTCCTGTTCTGAGTAGAAACACGGGAAAGCACAGTTATGGCCCGGGGACCACAGTAGCTCTGGACAGACTTGGCTTAGGTCTGACCAGGCTCGCTAGCCTGGGTTTAGCAGTGGTTCTGCAAGAGTCGGTGTGACTTTGGAGTCCCAGCAAAGCCTTGTGGGCAGGTAGCGAAAGGAAGGGAGTTCACAGAGGTGTGTCTGGGCTCGGTTGTGGTCTGTCTCCTGTGTTCATAACCTGCCATATGAAGTAAAGGAAATTGGAAGGACAACAGAAGTATGTGTAATGAAGTCTCATGTAATTCATGTATGGTTAGCCCCAGTTAAGACTGGGAGAATTATCTGCCAAGTGTGTGGTGTTGCTAGGCAGTTATATCATGCTGGTGTGACTCAGCCTTCACCTGTTTCTGCCTGCAGTGCTCTGAGAACTCACATCAAAATAACTTAGCAGGGTTACTCGGTATTTCTTTGCAAGGTTCTCCTGTGAGAGAGGCCACTCCACATGTGTAATAACCATGTATTATAGCACAGAGGATTTCCTAGGGTTGGTATCGTCAACATTTAATGCCACGAGAAAACCAGAGGACAGTTGGAGATTGCTGACACACAAGACATGTGGAGGAGAGGGCAAATCCTCAACCTAGCCCAGTCTCTGGTGCGGGTGGCATGCAGAGGGAGGAGACCCCATTTAGGAGATAGTGCAGTGCACTCTGCCCAAGCCCCTGAACTCTGGCTTTTCTGGAAAGAAACGACCGTTGGATGGAAACATCCAGCAGATTGCAGTGGGGTCAGGCTGTGGCAGTTGTTGCACCTTGCAGTGGGACCTTCTTGTGTTTCAGGTACTGCAGAGTGGTTTCTAGCCCATGTCCTGTGACAACACATTCAGAATTTGATTCCTTTTCACTGAATATTTGTGCGAGCACAGTAGAGTCCCTAGCACAGTCCAAAATAAGCTGTTATAATATGGATTGTAATAAATAAGTCCCCTGGTTATCCCAGCCTCCTGAAGTAATCGTGACATCTGAAGTAGGCTTCATTTTCTGCAGTATTTGGTAGATAGTACAGGCAGTATTGTGGAGTATTGCTTATACAGTCTCTCCCAAGGCCTCTGTTTATTTTCTGCTGTTGAAATTGGGTGCTCTGTTGTTTACCACCCTTATGTGCATCTGTTAGCCCATAGCGTATCTACATCACAGACTAACAAATCACTGCTAGCTCTAATGAGCCTGCAAGCATTGAGAAAGGCAATGTTGCCCCAGCTGTGTGCAGGAACAGCATAATACTTCTGTGTTAGTTACAATTTTGTTGTGCTCATTACTTTAAGTAGGGCAGGCAGTACCCACAAAGCTTGTGGTTAGTGAAATGTTGAACAAGCTCACATAGAAATACATTATTAAATGTTTGGTTGTTTAGGGATCCTAAAGCTGTGTACCAAAACTCCTTTCAAGTGCATGCACTTAAGATTTGACTTTATTGGCTTGTAAATTTTTGCTGTGTGATCCAGTGTGCCAAAGCACCTGTGGGAGAGAGAGATAACATTCTTCTTTGCTTAATGTGATGAGTGAGTGAGAGGTAGTGGAAAAAGAGATGTGCAGCAGGACCCCAGCAGAGGAGCTATTCTGCAGAGTTCCGCTCCTCCATAGCCCCTATGATGTGAAGGAGCTGACCAGTCGGCATAAAGCAGCTTTTTCAGTCAGTTTAACTTCAGCCAGCCAAACTTCTGTTGAGTTCATAAAACCAATATTTGTATAAAGAAGCAGAGACAGGAAGGGTGGAGGGAGAAAAGAAGCTCAGATGTTTTTTCTTCTTTAGAGATGGCTAAATAGCATAGTATAGCATTTGGCTGGCATCAGGTTTTCCCTTTTGCTAGCTGAGTCAGTGCTGTTTGGCCTCTAGACGAGTGCAGGGCAGATGTCCTGTTTCCTGTACCGAGAAAGGCCTTGGCCATGTTGGAAGTACTTACTTCAAACAGCTCACCAGTCACAAATTGTATTACTTTGCGGCTCAATTCAGCAAGGAACAATGGTAGAAGCCTTGAAGAGCAGCAGAATTAGGTTTGTGGTAAATTGGGCACACACAGAGCAGGGACAGTGTCCACTGCATGCAAATATAACTACAAGGGAGGAAAATTAACATCGGCTGCTTGAGGAGTGATGTGTTTTAGGAGAATAGCTGTGTATGAGTCCAAAATATCCATCAGTGTTATGGTGCTATATGCAGTCCTGGATGTAGTGTGCAAGACGTCAGACTTCTATAAACCTGTAGATTTAACTTTATTAAAACTGAGGTAAGGAAACCGTGATCCTGAGTTGTGAGGTTCAGGCTGGGCATTTGCATGTGAGGGACGTTTCTCCCCCAGAACCAGCTCCTACAGACTCGCAGTTCTGTTTTGCTGGGCTTATGTTAGTTACAGTTACGGCTCCGTGTTCCCTCCTGAGCAGTTCTTTTGTTTCTACTCACAAAGGATAGCACAAATACTGCATGTTGAATTTGATGTTTCACAGGAATCCTTACTAAGAGCAGAGTCTGTTACTTTACCTGTTGTGTTGTTTTGGACAGAAGTCCTGAAATTACCAAATTATTCAGCATTCGTAATAAATACCTAATGCTTACTTCTGTCATATTTTCCTGCTCTTTACTCATTTCTCTACCTCTGAATCTTCTTTTTCTTGGCTCACTGTTGCCTGCCCTCAGGCAGGGGCATGTACTGCCCGAGTGGCCACCCTCTGCGATTCTCATCGGCGCTTCAGTTTGCCCATCTGAATGTATCTCCTCAGATGGCTGCTCTGGAAGTGTTTCCTATCACTGGCAGTGATAGCAAGATCAGCTGCAGTCTCCAAGTTGCTGTAATAACCTAAGTTAATAATGATGTACGCCTGTTGGTTTTGATCTTCCCTATTGTCTCCTTTCACTGAAAGATGATGCGATGCGGTAATCTGTGTGCGCTTTCTCTTGTTTGCTCTCTCAGTCTCTTATTAGTGTGTCATACCATGAGAATGTTCTTTCACTCGGCGTATATTTACACGAAAACATACTCAAATAATCCATGGTGTAATACTGTGAGAGGCTAACGATTTTTGGCCAAATAGCTATACAGAATTCTTCTTGTGTTCATCCAAAAATTACTTTTATTGAGATCAGCAACTGTCAGCTTAGTGTTTTTATTGCATTATTCAGAGAAAGGTCTTGATTTTAAATACCAAGAAGAAAATGGACCTTTATTGTGTAATTTTATCGACATGAATAGCTTTTATTAAAAGGAGTGGGGAATCAATCTGTTACAATTAAATCTATGCTGTAAGACCCTTAGGAGACTGAGAGCTAATCACACGTTACAATCTGGGAACTTATCTGCATATTTATCAAGTTCCCTGCCTGTTATTTAATCTTTCCATATTACAAATTTTTTGTTTTGTTTTTGGGGGTTGATGTCAGGAGAAAAAAATTGTTAGCCATGTTAGCTTATATGGTAGCTCTGTGTTTGAATTCCTCACATGCTTGTCTGCCTGTCTTTGCTCCCCTGTAATAGAAGATGATGACCACAAACAAAGGTTTCTACATTTGCAGCAGAAGTACTGTCTTGCTGGCTGTAGTTCTGTAATAATAGATTGTAAGGAAAAAAGCCCTTTTTATATATTGTTCAATGCCAGCCTTATTAGGATAGTTCAGTTAACACCTAATAACTGATAATAGCAAAATGAAAAACAATCACAAAATGTAGTTAGAAATATTTGAGCTGGAATTCTTACAAGACTTGGTTCTATTGGAAGAGTTTTAGTCTTATTTATTTCACTTATGCCAGAATGGGATTTTTTTTTCCTCCCATATGTCCTGAACTTTCCTTTGCCATTTTGGCTGATGACAAAATGTTACCAGATCTTGAAGGAAGTACAATACTGCTTGTGCTTCTGAGGAAATTCTTATTCTGTTGGAACTAAAGCTTCCTCCCACATATGTTCTTAAAACAATACCTTAACCCCAAATGTTTTAGTAATATGCTTTATTGCATCCTGTGTTTTAAAGAAAAATGTGGAATAAATGGCATAATTTAGTGATTAAAACAAAAAACGTGTTCTGTTGCCATTGTTGGCTGCGATACCCATGTAACACTTGGTGAAAGGTTATCAAAAATTGCAGAAAATAATTGTTTTTCATAATTTATATATGTATTTGTAGAAGGTCTCAGAGTAGTTATTAATACAGGAAATGATTCCTGCTTTGTTGTTCTTACTGATAGCTATGCTAAACTAATTTAATGCGACTGGCTAAATTGTCTTATCACAATGCATGTACTCTGGAGAAATATAATTTTCTTGTGGACAAATACTTGAAAGAAGATTCATAATGTGTGCTGTCCTCCATTTACCAGAGTTGTGCTTGAAATAGAACACCAGGAGTTTCTCTAAATTTCTGGTAACTATGACAACTGTTACTTTAGTGTTATTAGCCCAATGTAATTTAGTGGAGTAGGTTGCTAGAGGTAATTTTTTAGCTACACTGGGATGATACTTGCTTTTGTAATTCTAAATAATATTTAGAATTTATATTTAAAAATCAGTCATATTACTGAAACATGCTCTATACTTTGTGAATTTGGTTTTTTAGTAAGAGCCTCAGCTTGCAGAGGGGCGGGTTAAGGGTCTCGTCCGAGGCAGAGCCGTCAGAGAAACTTGTATGTTGCTGGTTGCTTCGCAACTGTTCTGTTCTTAGGGCTTATTGGATCTAAGATTTTGATCCACACGATTTGTTTTCTTTTTCCCCCTTCAGCATATGTTGTATACACATATACATCCATCCTTTCTCTCTAGATATTTCTTGTTCTTGTGCCCTCATTGAAAAAGAATCCAGCTGAAAAGACTAAAGAAATTAGACACGAGAGCCCAATTCCGTTCTGTATCCTGTGTAGTTATCTTTTAATGTATAGTGGAGCAAAGAGGGAGTCAAACGACATTCACAGCATTAAACACTTCTGGTCTTGCACGAGGTGCCAGACAGTGGGAAATCCTGTCAGCTGTGATCTAATTTGAAAAGATGTAAATTAATGCAGGTAAGAAAAACAATACAAATAATTTCCTTTTAAATGTAGGGAAGATGTGTCAGGAGCAGAAATGTTGTTTGAACGTTTCAGTTTATGCATGGCTTTATGGTAGGGCAGCAGTGGTTTGTCATCTGGAACATTTTTTTGAATGTAGTTTATCACTAATTTCTTACAAAAGTATATTTTTTATATATCTCAACCTTAGCTTAATTAACAGAGGAGGAAACAACACAGTTTTTCAGGAAGCAAATTCTTTGAACTACTTTCAGTGTATTTTTATTGCCATCTAAAATATTTTCCAAAATCGCTGTGTTAGTCTTTATCTGATACATGACATATCTTACTGTTTTTGCTAGTGTGTCATTTTTATCATCTTTGTCCATTGGTATGGCTGAGGATAACAAATACTATATGCCTAAGCTGGAGAGCTACAGGATAGATTGGCTGTAGCTTTGTTTGCTGGACCATTTTGTGTCTCTGTGCATTTTGGCTGCAAGTGAATCACTAAAATAACAGGCTTTGTAGGTTCTTTACAGGCTAATACTGAAAATTGTTTAAGTATATTTAAGCCCATTAATGAGTTCATAGTCTTTCTGAAGCCCAATTTTCAAAACTTACATGAAATTTCAATTATTACATCAAACAGAAATGTGCTAGCTTTATAAAGGTCTGCAGGAGACGAGAATTTTGTTAGTAATTTCTCTTTATGCCCATGCAGATTTTTAGATCTTACTTGTGTATAATAGATGACATCCACTAAGTAATAGTATCCAGATTGCATATGGAATTTTTTTGTCCATGCAGAATGGCACGTGCATGCACACACCCCATGTGCCACAAACAGGTCTGTTCTTCAAGGAGCTGGAGCTGTAATGGTCTTAGCATCTTGTGGAAAACCGTGAGGGTTAGTATTTAAAAATTCTAGTGTGATCATAAGTACAGGGGCCTCTCAGACACTTTGAGCCTGAGATATACACCTTGAAAATCCCATTTTCAGTTGCCACCTGACCCTGATGGCACCTAAAATTCACATTTGCCAAAGATTCACCTTATACTGACAGTGCTGGGCCCAAGTCAGTGTGTGTTGCTTCACTACTCAGTCATCTAGGCAGTGTTTTTAGGGAGTGCTGTAAGAGACTGTTCAGCACAGATGACCTTTCTTCAGTGAATGATTTCAGAGAAAAAGAATTACTTTTACTTAATTAATTTACAGCTTTATTAAAAAACCAAACATTTTGCTGACAGTTTAAAAGATAGAAATTGGTAAAAGGGCTTTCTACATAAATTGGAATTGCTTTCAGGGATTCCTTTTTAGATAGTATTTCATCTGGTTCTTCCCTGTGTGTGCTCTGAGCAGGTGTGGGAACCTTCTGGGCTGTGCCTACAAAAGCTCTCTTACTCTTATGGCTGAGTATAGATTTCTCTGAAACAGTTTGTATTGACACGGTGACTTCCAACGGTTTACTCTTTTTTTTTTCCTTTTCCCCTTTCAGGTGCAGAAACCTTACATTTCCTGACAGGCTTCCTGAGGTCAGCATTGTGTTCATATTTGTTAATGAAGCTCTCTCGGTTATTCTGCGCTCCATTCACTCAGCCATTGACCGGACTCCTGCTCATCTGCTCAAAGAGATTATTTTAGTTGATGATAACAGTAATAATGGTAAGAGGCTTTGGTTCTTCCTATTTTCTGGTAGATTTAGTGATGAAATTTTAGAAAGTACAGGATTCTGAACTTAAAGTTTTTCTTCTGCTGGGGAGGTAATTCTGAACTCCTAAAATACAAGGAGAATCTGGATTTATCCTGTTGAAGACAAATGCTGAACAAAGGATATTTCTTATCCTTGCCATCATTATAGCTATTACGTGATCTCTGCAGCTAGATCCTGTGACTTGCTGCTGATCATAAATATATCTCAGAGTTGTACAGAAAAGAAACATACTAGGAAACAAGTAAATAAGTTCCCTGCTGGAGGCTGTGCACTTCATCATCTCCTCTTCTGCTGACTATCAATGAAGGAAAAAGTAAAATCCTGACTCTTTTAAAGTACACACAAAACCCACCAACTTGCTGTAGGCGTATGTCAAATCTAATTCCAGTCCTGGTGAATAATACCGTGTTTAGAGTTACCTAAGGCTGACCAAGCTTTTCTTGAAACACCTACTCATGGAACAGTGTGGGTAAATCGGTGTGTAGGATTTATGACTTGCTTTTCTTAGTTTATGGCACAATTTATGATGTAGCAATGTGATGAAGTAAATGAAAGATCACATGAAACAGTAAACTATGGGCAAAGTAAAAGAAAATAAAAATCAACGTGTGCACACGCATACATGTGATTCAGAAACGGCTTGTGAACTGAGGTAGACTTTTGATTTGCTTCAGCACGTAGTTCTGTCGTCTGACGTGTCGTTTCACTGATGCACACTTGCTGGCCCAGTTTATGCCCACTCCCTCATGCAATACACGGAAGTTTGATAGGAGAAAAAATAAACTGGAAAACGACTTTGACTGGTGGACTTGGGCTTTGGAATGTGTTTGTAGAAATTAATTCCTGGATCTTTCAAAGAGGTTAATGTGATGCCAGGAGCTCAGTGAATCTGAACGGCTGTGGGTGCTGCAGGGCCTGGGGCCTCTGGACATGGAGGAACTGGTCACAAGGCAGCCATGGAAAAAGAAAAATAATGGCTGAAAAAAGTGGCTTCTGGAGCTTGGGTCTGACTTTCTATCATTTACAGGCAGTATTGCAGTGGGCACATTGCAGAGCAGTGTCAGAAACATCAGTGTTTCTGAGAGCCTGTCAGCGCTGTGACGAGCTCGCTAACAAATACGCTCTCCACTGTGCTCTGTGGGCTAGTCAACATTATTCTTTTTTGTTATTTCTTACCTGAAATAGGAACGAAATCACAGGAACCACTTAATCTTTCAGGAAGACCTGTTCAGCCACATATTTTTTTAGTACCAGTATTAGTACTGTGGAGTATCGTATTTTTATGGTTGGCTGTGCCTGTTATTCTGCCTTGCCTTTCTAACCCTCCAGGGCCTTAAATCCTTAGGGCCCCGGCCCCAGACAGGAGGACGGAAATTGAGAGGAAGGTAACCTTTGGTTTCACTGTCTTGGCTTGGTGTGACATGTTGTTCTATACAGAAATACTGTGCAGAGTGATACTTAGTCTCCTAGAAAAATTCAGTGCTTTCCAGGATTTTCTGCTACTCCTCCAACCCTTTTTCTGGCGTCTCTTCCCTGCAGGAGTAAATTAGATTCCTACAGTCCTCTTTATCCCATAATGTATGCTGGAGACCTGGTAATAGGCATCCATTTGGAGAGGATGGATGTTTGGGTAGGAAAGGGAGTGATTGTACAGATGATTTATGGGCTTTTCTATTATTAGTTTAAATCATGAAATATTTATTTTACAATTTACTTTTGCTTTTACAATATTCTATTTTCAATTTTTTTCTCCCTTCTAGCACTGCTGAAACTAATCCTTTATATTTAGTGTCATTCTATGTTTTTGTTAGTAGCTCTTTAGCTTGCAAGTGTTGCTGCTTGTAAGATAAGTGGGTTACTCTGGGTTTCCCTGTAATGTTACCTGAGGGGGCAAAAGCTTACTTTGTGCTTGCATCTGGCTCTAGACTGCTTCTCGCAGGGACCTGTCAGAATTCTAATTACAAGAAGTATGTTTACTCTCAGGCTTTTGCCAGGGTCGGCAACTTTTATAACTTAATGTCAGATTATTTTTTTTCATGTGATGCCACTGCCATGGATTTTACAGGCAGGAAACATCACACTGTGAGAAGTGACTAGAGGGAAGGGGTGAGAACAGAGATCAGGCAGAGTGCAAAACAACACGTTTTTTATTTTGAGTCTCGTGCGCTATTTGGTTGGATTCGCACAGCGCAGTGGTTTAAAATAAAAGCAGATACCATGATTGGCACTAGGGGAGGGCACCAGAATTTCCTGCTTCTAAGGGGAAGTGATATACTGGTAAACTGGTATAAATTCTTTCTGTGGGCCAAACTCGGAATCTAGGAACGAGCATCTGAATTCATCCGTAATTTCAGGAGTTTCAGAAAAATTTCTGTGTTTCAGAAAAGAGCAGTGGAAGAACTCGCTGTTTTTTAAAATTCTAGAAGGCTGATTTCAGAAACTGTGTATTCACATGTACAGCCAAAGTCCGTGCATTTGTCTTGAACAATATAAGCTATTGCATTTTATTTCATGCACTTCAGGGTATGTCAAGCAAATTATCTATGACTTTCTCTAAACCTCAGTGCAGTTTTTCAAGTTCTCGATTATGTTTCAGAAGACCTCGATTAATCTGTTCATGAAGTTTCCCTTTTTAAAAAATAAATACTTCAAGTTAGGAAGCTGTGAACATGCCAGTGTGTGCCATTTAAAAGCAGAAAATTGATTTAGCAGGTCCTGAAATTTTGATCCTGCATTTTAATAAAGCCGTTTGCATGGCTTAGTGTATGTATTTCACTGTACTATCTTTTCCGGCAGAATTCTGATAAAAATAGTACCGAAATGTTTCATATATGCTGTTAGGTACATTAGTGTTAGAATTTCATTTAATTGAAGGTTAAAAAAAAGGGTGTTTCAGTGACAACCTGTGTACTATATGAAGAGAACAAAAGGTGTATTAAAAAACCCAAACCAAGTAACAGTGTTGTTCGTTTGGGTCTCACTGGGCTCTGTCACGTTGGTGTGAAGGAGAGCAACTGCACAGATGTGAGCTGGTTTACTGTAGTTTTAAGTGCTGTCTGTCAGATCAGAATCTTTCCCATTCTCATCAGGAGCGCTGTTTGCTTTTCAGAGATAATGTACTCATTAGTGTATAACTCGGCAATAAAATAATTTGTTCATTTTTGCCTCCTGAAGTAGCAGACTCTTCCAGCTGACTCAATGCATTTGAAGAGAGGGATTTGCAGAGAAGAGGCTTTAAAAAAAAATGAAGTGACCATGCCCGTGACTGCTGGTAGTTAATTAGACCTCAGAAATATATATAGAAAAAGCATTGCCTCAGCTGGAAACTGCTGGAATAGTGTTTTCTTCACTTTCTGTCCCGTCGAGCCCTGCTCTCTGGGGACAGAGTGCCAGCCTCCTGTGCCACTGGAGTCCTCTCGTGGCTTCTGAGTCTTTTTGCTGACATTGAGCCCCGCTGCACTATGAAGCACCTCTTGAAGATATTTTAAGATGATTTGAAGTCTCTCTAAGAAAGCTCATTGTGAGCCATGATGTGTTCAGCTTCACGGGGAGAGAGCATGCATTAATGTGTCCAGAGTGTGCCTTACAAAATCTTATATTATAGCAGTAATTATCATCCTCTATGACATTTTTTCATATTAAAGTTAATAATAAATGTTGCAGTAGAGGCTCAGATTTCATAAGGTTTCTTCCTTATTCTTTGAACCATTACTTATGAATGAAATATTCTAACGTGTTCAGTTTAATGATTCTCATTTTGTCCTGAGATTTCCATGAACACAGCTATTGAATTGCAGCAATAATGCTGGATATCACAGGATGCTAATTTTATGACTCAAGTTGTTGTTGAGTGTTGAAGAGCAATGTTGAAGAGAATTAGCACAGAGTGGTAGAAAATGGGTCAGATGCAACAGAATCATGTTTGAGAGATTTGCAACATTGTCCTTAAAACCGTGATTAAAAAGCTTGTCAAAAAGCATCCAGAGCTGTTCTTTACAAAGGTATATTTCTCCTTTGGTTATTTTTAAGAGATATTTGAGAATAGGAGATTGGTTTTATTTTTTTTTCTTTACTAAAGCAGTGATGAATAAACTCAAAAGTACTGTTCAAATGCATGCTAGATTTCATATTACTACATAGCTTGAAGATGGCTTGCTTCTAGACCAGACAACTATGAATGTTGATTTAAAAAAAACCTATTAACTATTCCCCATGTCCTAGGGAAAACTTTAGGACTGGCTATGCACTGTTTGGCTTCTTGTTGTTCTCTTACCTGAATGCCAACAAAATTTAAAGACAAATAAAAACATTTAAAAACAAGGAAAAAGCCAAACTTTATTCCAACCCATATTTACTTTTGGGCCATGGTTTATGCATTGTGAAGGCTTTGCTTTATCTGCCTAGATTCGTTCCCCCATTAGCTAAAGGTCTTCATGCTGAAATTCTTATTATTGCAAAGTCTTTACAGAAGCAAGCTGTCAGTAGCGTTGTCAAGGATTGACGTGGAAGAGGGCTGTGTAATGCTCGTTAGGAATCAGATGCTAAAAAGCATTTATTTATGAATAGACTGGGAAATCTGTCTCCATCATAGATTTCATAGAACCTTAGGATGGTTTGGGTTGGAAGGGACTTTAAAGATCATCTAGTCCCACCCCCCCTGCCACGGCAGGGCCACCTCCCACCAGCCCAGGTTGCCCAAAGCCCCGTCCAACCCGGCCTTGAATCCTTCCAGGGAGGGGGCAGCCACAGCTCCTCTGGGCAGCCTGTGCCAGGGCGGATGCATCTCACCAGGTCCCGTGGGCCCGTGCACCTTTAGGTTCCTTAGGTGGTCTCAAACCTGATCTTCTCCTACAACGGGCAATTCTTCATTCTCCCCAACCCTGCCTTTGCCTTCTGTGGCTTGGGTGGTGTGGCTGGAGCCCTTGCTGGTGAACACTGAGGCAAGTTGTTG